AAAAAAATTATACACCAGATGGAAAGCTGACGAGACTTATAAAAATCCAAGAAGTGGAGTAAAATGAGGATATATGGAAGAAGACGACAAAACAAAGAAAGGGGAAGCTGACTAGAGTAGGAAAGGAAAGAGTCATTGTTTGTCACTTTAAGCTGTGGTACATGAAATTTTTATATTAAACCATTTATATTGCCTGGGATTTGTTGGGGATTAACAGTTCCCAAAATGAAGCAGTTCATGCAGAATTTCTCATGCCAGCGCTATAGTATTTTCCATCTTTTATTTTTAATCTAACATTTCCTTTTGTTCCATTCTCTCAGGGCATTGTATCCCCATGTCCATTGTTACTAGCATTTCCAGTTAATACTTGTAAATTCTGTCTTGTCATTTTTGTGCTATTGTTATCTTCCTGGTGGGTGGATGGATCATGTATATATGAGAGAGAACTGCATATTTCCTCCCACACCAAGGCTCCTATTGTTCTCATGGTGCTCTCAACTCAGCAGAGAAAAAAATTTAACAAATAATACAGTTGCTTTTTTATAGAGGTTTTTAGTTGTTAATTCATTATTTGAATATATAACGTGGCCATGTATGACTTCGACTAAGATCAAAACTATACATAAAGCAGATAGGCTGCAGCAGTGATTTGATTTAATTTAATTGCCTATAGATTAGGAAGGCGAATAGAAATCTGTGAAATTATTACAGGAGTAGAAAGGATGATCTCCTGTTCTTCTGCTTAGGGTATGTAACACTGCTGCTATTCAAGGGTGATGGCATTGAAAATGAGAAAGCTTTACTCGAGTAACAGCTAAGCCTAATGCAAGGAATGCTGCAGGGACATCTCTGAAATGCAGGAGGTGTTGCCTGAGTTACACGTATCAGCTCAGTGGCAGTTCTGCTACACTAAAACTTGGTGGTTACCCAGATTAATGAGAGTTAATATTTGAGTGAGCAATAAGTATTCTTACTAAGAGAGAGAACTTCTTCACATCAGGCTATATACAGACCCCTTTATGTATGTCGACAACTCTTGTGTTGCCCTCTCAGCCCATGAGAACAATTTAGGAGCCCTCTGTCCAGTCTCTGACAGTTTTGCTTTTGTCTTGTTCAGAGCAAGCACCAGAAGCACCAGGCCTTTGAAGCTGAGCTCCACGCCAACGCCGATCGCATCCGCGGGGTCATCGACATGGGGAACTCGCTGATCGAAAGAGGAGCCTGTGCCGGCAGCGAGGATGCTGTGAAGGTACCACAGGATTTAGCAGATTTGCTTAGGTTTTGCTTTGAGAAGTGTTTGGATAATTGGGAGAGGGCAGTATCCCTCAAAACCAAATCTTGTTTTATAGAAGCTCTTCTATTTTAACTATGCAGTAGTAATCGGGGTAATCGTTCTGCTTCATTCTCAAGGGTGAGAATATTTCCAATCCTATGATCAAAATGTAAAAGTTGAACTGATTTATGGCCAGGCAGCACGGGGCAGCGACTGGGTAACTTGTGTATTTGGAATTGGCAGCCAAACTTGTACCTTCTTCGGGTTTTGCATTTATCAGAATTTATGTTTTTAGTTTGTTGCATTTATCTTTTTCATTTTCTAACAGGCACGTCTGGCTGCGCTGGCTGACCAGTGGCAGTTCCTGGTACAGAAATCAGCAGAGAAGAGTCAGAAACTGAAGGAAGCTAATAAGCAACAGAATTTTAATACTGGAATTAAGGACTTTGATTTCTGGCTTTCAGAGGTAACTGAGATTGGTAGTATTTACTTGCAAGACTTGTTTTTCTAAGTGTTTTATTTCTTTTGCTGATGTTAGATCTTTGAGCGAGACTTAAATTTATTTTGAAAAAAATCTTTATTGGAATTAAAATTCTTGTGGATGTTTTACTGTTTATAAACAATATGGTGAGAAGAAACATATTTGCATATAATCTGTTAGGAACTGATCAGGTGATGAAGCAAAGGTTTATCCATGTTGTAGAAAATTCAGGAGAGAATTAATTTGCACAGTTTTAAAGACACTGTCATTGTTGTGAGATTACAACTCGGTCTCCATCCCCTTTTTCCTTCCCCACCCCTAGGTGGAGGCTTTGTTGGCATCTGAAGACTATGGGAAGGACTTGGCATCAGTTAACAACCTTCTGAAGAAACACCAGTTACTGGAAGCTGATATATCTGCTCATGAGGTATTGCTTTCTCTTTTAGTTTGGGAAGATAAATCAGAGTAATCAGCAAATTCTACAGATACCACTTCAATACATGCTGCAGTC